CACCCTCCCCCACCACCGCCACCGCCACCACCCGCCGCCACCCAGGGTCGTCGCTCAGGAAGCCCCTAACGCCACCGTCAGTTCAATTTTAATTTTATTATTATTATATTATTAGGTATTATATTATACGTTTTTATACTATATTATAAATTATTATATCATTAAATATTATTGAATGCATTATTTTATATCGTTCTATCCCTGACGAATTTTAGAAACATTATTATGACAGACATTCTATTTTTAAGAAGCAAGAATTATAAACTTTGCTTGAATTTGTTAATTTGAACTTTAATAGAATAGCTGGATTATAGTTATAAGAAAATTAGTTGAATTTGAACTTATAAATTGTAGGTGAATTAGAATCTCAAGATTATTGGTTGAAATCTGAACTTGACGACTTGAGTTGAATTGACGAAGTTAGTTGAACACGACGAAATGTGGGGGCGTGTTGACGATCAGAATTTTCTCATTCTGATCCTGCCATTTATTTACAAGCGGTGGCTAATAACAACAAAATATCTAAAGTTTTTTATTAAAGAGCTATGATGTAGAAATTTTTTAAAAAACTTTAATATTTTTATATATTTATTCTTTTTGTTGTTAAAATACTGAATACCTTCAGTTCTGATAAAGGCTTTGTGAATACAAAAATGGTACGCATGCGTCGTAAATTTCTTAACAGTCCCCATGCTTTCAAACATGCTTTTTTTCAACAGCCATGCTTTCAAAACTCGCTAAGTGAACGTAAGTACTTACGCTCTATTTTCTTGTCTACGGTTGGTGGATTTGGCTTGGAAGGCCGTCAATGATTGGCTGATGAACTTACGATCTCTTAACTTTTTAGCGCATTTTCTCATTTATGAAAAAAATGCACTATTGTCCTCGCCATGTCCGTCTGTCCGTCCGTCTGTCCGTCTGTCTGTCCGTTTGTCCGTCCGTTCGTGACTTCGTTTTTTCGTCGACGAGAAAATGCGCTCTCTGTCACTCACTGCGGTGAGTACTGAGTTATATTTTTTTAAAAGTATAGGCCCTGAACGAGAATCATGTAAACATTGGTGATCTCAACTGAAGATCTTGGATCTTCAGTTCTAGTCGACCGCTGGCCATTCGTCCGTTGGCCATTCGACCGTTACCCTAAAAAAGTGCTGGCTCTGATGTCATAGTACAAAGACTAAAAAAGATCAATAGTAGCAACTAGCCGAGCTAGGAGACTACTAAGGATACTAAGGACAGAGCGAGGATTTCGCACCGCGGTCGCCAATACTTCGTCTCAGACCGCGCGCCGACTACGAGCCTTGCTTGCTTCAGAACTTGATGAAATTGGTTGAATTAGAACTTGATGAAATTAGTTGAATTAGAAGTTGATGAAATTAGTTAAATTAGAAGTTGATGAAATTAGTTAAATTAGAAGTTGATGAAATTGTTTAAATTAGAAGTTGATGAAATTGTTTAAATTAGACGTTGATGAAATTGGTTGAATTAGAAGTTGATGAAATTGGTTGAATGAGAACTTGATGGAATTGGTTAAATTAGAAGTTGATGAAATTATTTAAATTAGAAGTTGATGAAATTAGTTAAATTAGAACTTGATGAAATTGGTTTAATTAGAACTTGATGAAATTGGTCGAATTAGAACTTGATGAAATTGGTTGAATTGGAACTTGATGAAATTAATTAAATTAGAAGTTGATGAAATTGGTCGAATTAGAACTTGATGAAATTAATTAAATTAGAAGTTGATGAAATTGGTTGAATTAGAACTTGATGGAATTAGTTGAATTAGAATTCGACATTTTTAGTTCGATTAGAACTTGACGAAATTAGTTGAAGTAAAATTTTGAGATACGTACATAATTGCTTAAATTGGAATCTTAAGAATTAAGTCATGATAATTTCTTGCTTGAATTCTGATGCCAGGCTATAGTTGAGTGGCTTAATGGCCATAGTTGAGTGGCTTGATGTCTCTAAATAATTGATGTGTTGATGTCAGTTGGTGTTGAACTCGTCGGGGGAGCAGCAGGTGGCGGGACGGCGGCGGCAGAAGAAGCTTCGTAACGACGCCGCCGCCGCCGCCCGCCGCCTCAGCCGCCACCACTGGGTCGGCAAGGGCTTCTCTGAGTGCAGCAAGTCCTGTGGCGGCGGTGAGATGGCGGGAGGAGTATATGGCGGGTGGCGGGTGGAATATATGGCGGGTGGTGGGTGAAATGTATGGCGGGTGGTGGGTGAAATATATGGCAGGTGGCGGGTGAAATATATGGCGGGTGGCGGGTGAAATATATGGCGGGTGGCGGGTGAAAGATGTGGCGGGTGAAATGTATGGCGGGTGGCTGGTGAAATATATGGCGGGTGGAGGGTGAAATATATGGCGGGTGGTGGGTGAAATATATNCGGCCTGCAGCCTTGTCCTGCCAGGTAACGCGGCCTGCAGCCTTGTCCTGCCAGGTAACGCGGCCTGCAGCCTTGTCCTGCCAGGTAACGCGGCCTGCAGCCTTGTCCTGCCAGGTAACGCGGCCTGCAGCCTTGTCCTGCCAGGTAACGCGGCCTGCAGCCTTGTCCTGCCAGGTAACGCGGCCTGCAGCCTTGTCCTGCCAGGTAACGCGGCCTGCAGCCTTGTCCTGCCAGGTAACGCGGCCTGCAGCCTTGTCCTGCCAGGTAACGCGGCCTGCAGCCTTGTCCTGCCAGGTAACGCGGCCTGCAGCCTTGTCCTGCCAGGTAACGCGGCCTGCAGCCTTGTCCTGCCAGGTAACGCGGCCTGCAGCCTTGTCCTGCCAGGTAACGCGGCCTGCAGCCTTGTCCTGCCAGGTAACGCGGCCTGCAGCCTTGTCCTGCCAGGTAACGCGGCCTGCAGCCTTGTCCTGCCAGGTAACGCGGCCTGCAGCCTTGTCCTGCCAGGTAACGCGGCCTGCAGCCTTGTCCTGCCAGGTAACGCGGCCTGCAGCCTTGTCCTGCCAGGTAACGCGGCCTGCAGCCTTGTCCTGCCAGGTAACGCGGCCTGCAGCCTTGTCCTGCCAGGTAACGCGGCCTGCAGCCTTGTCCTGCCAGGTAACGCGGCCTGCAGCCTTGTCCTGCCAGGTAACGCGGCCTGCAGCCTTGTCCTGCCAGGTAACGCGGCCTGCAGCCTTGTCCTGCCAGGTAACGCGGCCTGCAGCCTTGTCCTGCCAGGTAACGCGGCCTGCAGCCTTGTCCTGCCAGGTAACGCGGCCTGCAGCCTTGTCCTGCCAGGTAACGCGTTATTTTTCAAAACAATTTCCTGGAAACCTAATTTTTTTATATGTCAGAAACCATAGTTTGAAAATTTAGTTTGACTCCTAGAAAAAAACGAAAGTTTGGACTTGAGGCTTTTTTTAATTTGGCGGAATTTAAATAAAGGCAGTGTGAAATGGAGGGCCGGCTTTGAAAAAATCTGAAACTGCGCCTTGATTTGAAATTCAATTGATTTGAAGTTTATTTCCGGGCACAAAAACGGGAGCGCAGCCGTGGGTAACAAAATTGACTTGTAAACAGGCCCTGGGCACAACGCCAACCATCAGCATGCAATATCTACACATAGCCTCAGATCAATGAGCTGTGAGTAAGTGACTCATATCACCACACCAACTTTAAGTCAGCGATGCCTTACTCCACAAACCACTACATCCAATATTCAATGGTAATCTGGCTCTGCTCAACAGATTTTTACTCCACACCATCCCTTCTTACTCGTGCCGTAAATCTTAACAGCCGCAGACCACTCCGGCTAACAGTAAATCCGCTTTGCACAACACAGCCACTGCTTCACAGCGCCGGAGCACAACAGGCCCTACCTACAACGCCTTACGTTAGGTTATGTTAGGAGTAGGGCCGGGGTAAGGCGTTGTAGGTAGGGCCTGTTGTGCTCCGGCCAGTTGTGCTCCGGCGCTGTGAACCAGTGCCTGTGACCGAACGGCGCTGTTGTGGTGGGCGCTGTGTCGAGAGCCGTGAAGATGCCCGGCTGCGTGAAGTACAACCACGCTGCAGTTTAGAGCTTTGACCACGGCTGTTGTTGCAATGGCTTGATGCTATTTGGCTTATTTACTCACTTCCATGAAGGGAAATGGCCACTATGGCTTTAGGCACGTTGTAGTGCAGGCTACTAAGCCCTCAGGCATGATTACGCTCGGGAAGGTATATGAATCGCACTGTGGACTTGGGCTATGCTGACCTCTAGCTATCCACCCCACAAAAACTAACAATTCAGTATGGTTATTTAGTTTGAAAATTTCAATACTTTGTTCAATTCTTTATCACGTGAGGGTATCAATGGAAATTTAAAAGCGAAGAAAACGCCACAAAAATTCAGCATTTTTCAGCATCAGCAGCATTCAGCATTTTCATAAAAAACAAAAACAACAGAAGTTAAAATCTAAATTTACAGGCAAATGGCAGAATAATAAAGAAATACCTATCTATTCACAATTTCTAATGGATAAGAACTGTATGCAGCATTTAAACTAGGCTTCTCTTTAAAAATATACAATGATTCCAAAATGCGCAGATCGGAAGCACCAGAACTAAAAGATAAAACCTTAAAGTCAGTGTCGGACACCTGAACGTTGCACTGTTTGGCGTGAGTGCGCACAGCCGAATGAGGAGGGCGCGATAGTAACTGCCCAGTCCTATAACTCCTCCCTTTATGCTCAGCGACCCTAGTGTAAAGGTTGCGTGCCGTCATCTCTACGTACGCAGATGCACATCTTGCACAACTATATTTATAAACTAGGGACGATCGCATGTGAGAATCAATGGTTTCCTTTATTTGCAACAATACAGTGGCTTGAAAAGTTAAGTTAGCAGAGAAGATGATATGATGATATGATCTTCCTTTTGTGTAATTGCACCCCCACCACATAACCGCAACCCCACCACATAACCTCCACCCACATAACCCCCACATGTGCCGCAGGTGGGTAGCCCGTGCG